TGACACGGGTCGTGTAGGAGGGTTTTGGAGGTTTTTCTTGATGAATGATGCTGACACGGGGCGTGTTGATTTAGCCTTGCTGAACACGGGGTGTGTTCATCATGCTGATGCTGACACGGGGCGTGTTGATTTAGCCTTGCTGAACACGGGGCGTGTTGAGGTTCAGAAGTATGAAGAAGGCAATCAGAGGGCAACACGGGGCGTGTTGATTTTTCCTTGGTTTTTAACACGGGGCGTGTTCGTGTCTGAGTCAGTTTCGGGATTTTTGTGATTTGAAGGTAAGTTTTGTTTGTGATGTTTTGGCTAGGGTAATGGTGTTATGGTGTTTTGAGGATGTTTTCAAGGTTGTTTAGAGGTTGGAGGGAGGTTGATATAAGGTGGTAAAGGTGGTGAAATTTCTATGAAGATGATGATGAATAATGATGGGTTTTGTGGTTGATCTTGATGCAGAAGGTTTTGGGTTGTTTCATGGTTGTGTTTTGGTGTTTTGATGTAAGGAAAGTGTTTGGTGGTGTATGATGTGATGATCAAAGGTGGTGAAGATGAAAAACCTTTAGTTTCAATGAAGAAGATGAAGATGGTTGATGGTGTTCTTCATTTCATTGTTGATGATCTTGGTGTTCTTCACTTAGCTTCTTGTTTGATCTTGGTGTTCTTCATTTAGCTCTAGGGATGAAGATTGATAGGGTTTAGTTTTACAAAGGAAAACTCACTATATCATATCTATCTCTCTTACTCTCTTCTATTATCTCCAACACAAACACACACTACATACACATGTATATATATGAGAAACAAATATCTTGTAGTAGTACACTTGAGTGTAAGTTGAAAGATGATGTAGAGGCTGCAAGTTGATGTAGTAGTAGGAGCAAAAAAACGTGTGAATGGGTTTAGCTTCTTCATCTTTGACTTTTGTTGACTTCTTCTTTGTTTGACTATTCAACATATATATAATACATATATACATATATAATACATACATATGAATATAATACATACATATATATATATATATATATATATATATATATATATTGTTGAAACTGTTTAGTCACACATATGTGTTTTCGTCATTCGTGTGTTTTCGTATTTTCCGTTTTATCACGCATTCATGCAACCTGAAATAACTGATAATATTTGTTAGATTGTATAAAAACAATTCATCTTATTTCAGTTATGGTCACATACAAGGTTACATAAGAACATTTTTCAACAATAATAAAGATTCAAAAAAATATCATTTATTTTTCACTATAAACACATTAAATTAGCAATAACAATCAAGCCAAATTGTTTATGTTTTGAGCTAGTTTGAGTTTAAACAACTTTAGATCCTGAAAATCATTTAGATAATAATTTTTTTATATATATACTACATAATCCCTAAATTTTGGGCCCCTTGGAGACGTGGGCCCTAGGCGGTCGCCCGGGTTGCCCACCGTCAAGACCGGCTCTGATCACAGCACATGTATGAAAGACTATGGTTGGATCACAAAACTTGTATAAAAGACTGTGGTTGGATCACAACACTTTTTTAACTTTGTGACTTGCATGGAAGACCATGGTTGGATCATGGCAGAAAGGTTACGACTAGACTATAATCCGGGAGTGATTGTAAGACTATGGTTGTACTATAGCATTCACGTAGGGCTCGACCCACTGATATGTATGGTATGTGGTATTTTGGGGAACTTGCTAAGCTTTGTGCTTACAATTTTATGGTTTAAACATTTTCTGGTACTTCCAGTTCCTAAGGGAAGGGTCCGGCTTCACTGCACAACATCCCCTGATGGCTTTTCTACATTGATTGTTATTGTTTTAATATGATGTTGGAATGATACATTTTACTCTTATTGGTTTTGGAATGAATCTTTGTATGGATTTGACGGTTTAAAAATGAAAATTTTATTGGTATTTTTGGGATATTATAAGTTGGTATCAGAGCCTTGGTTTGAGGGACTCGGGCGCACTCTTGGGTGTGTCTGAACTCACACTGAGGAATTGATAATCTTTTTGAAAAAAAATAAATTTTCTAAAAATATTTTGACAAAGAAAGGGGTGCAATGTGTGCAATCACCCGAGCTCAAGTAAGTGATTCCCAAAATACCAATACATGAGCATTATGCATTTATGTGAATTGCATGTTAGGATAGGGATAAGGATACCTTCAGGAATTAGATGAGAGAATTGCTTGATTTATGATGCGTTGTATCCTAGGAGGAATTGGGTGTTATGTATTACTTGGAATCAATATTGGCAAAGTTAATTGCTAAGCGTATGTTTATAAATTGTATATGATTAGGATCATGTAGCTTTAGAATGATTGATTTAACCTTATTTTATTTTCCTTTTCTCGTTGTGGGCTTAAGGTAGAATCATTTATTCGACAGTTTATCTGATCCCGTATTGTGTACAATTTTCATACGTAAGGCAACCAAAGGTTTGGTAGAGGTTCCTAGTATTGTGATCCCCTATTGTGTACAATTTTCATGCGTAAGGAAACCAAAGGTTTGGTAGAGGTTCCTAGTATGTCAGAAGCAAGTAAGATGAGTATTCTTAGGAGAGCCTAGAGAGTGTTATAGAGGGATATGTATGATTCTTAGCATAGGGCTTATGCGAGTTGTTATAGTGAAGTAACTTAGCGGATTCGGGATGATTTTTGAAGAATGTACGGATAGGTGTGGAAGGTAGTATTGAGCCCGTACTACTGAAAGCACATGATTCATACTCGAATCAACGAGACTCACAAGGATTCTAAGAAGGTTGTAGAATGAGTTATTCTTCGATTATGATTTGATTAGGTTGTATGGTTGCCTTTCAATATGGCGATGAGCAATCATGGAGGAGGTTCTAGTGCATGTTCAAGCTCTGGTGCTGAGCCGATTAATGAGAGGATATGCAAGTTGGTTGCGCCTAAGATCGCTCGTGGTATTATAAATGTGACTCCTGTGATGTTTGGTACCGTCAAGGAGGGGATAATGGAGCTTCTGGATGATCTCTTGGGGTCCTTTTGTGCCACGATTGTGGCTGGTCAGTTGGGGGCATGAACTCTCTATTGTTGGGAGTAGAATACATGTAGGGGGCCAGAATTCTTCAGGAATAAGGACCCTGTTGCTAGCCGACGATGGATCACTGACATGGAGAATGCTCAGTGGATGAGTTTTTGCCACGAGGGGTCAAAGGTGGGATTTGCATCTTGCCTTCTGAGGGATTGAGCTCGCAACTGGTGGTAGGAGATTAGTCACATATTAGGATCTAAGCTTGTGGCGGCCATGTCTTGGAATGACTTTGTGACAAGACTTAGAGTTGAATTCGCACCTGCTTTAGAGATGCAGCAGTTGGCAAGGGAGTTTTAGGACCTTCTCCAGACGACGGAGATTGAGGTGGAGATCACCGCCAAGTTTAAGAAGAGGGCTTTACCTGTTCCGCAGTACGATGTGGATAAGGAGATGAAGAATACGATGTACCATGATATGTTGAGGGATGATATCCAGGAGTATATGAGCGTATCGAGTTGCAAGACCTTGGAGGATATGATTGCCAGAGCTCATGAGCAAGGGGTTGAGTTAGAGATTTGGATGAAGCAAAAACCAGCTTCAGTTCAGACAACAGTGGGTTCATCGAAGAAGCCCAAGACCTTCAATTCATGAGCTAGAGGTCAGCAAAGTCGGGGCCATTGCGGAAAGTGTGGGAACCGCATGATGGAATGTGTCGATCAGGAGGTATGGGTTGCTACAAGTGTCGTGAGATTGGTCATATCAACTGGGAGCGTCTTCAGGGATCGAGTCCGATTTGTTTTCACTACAACCAAATGGGCCACAAGAAGGCCGACTTCCCAAGATTGACGAGTGGTGAGGATTACAGATTGTCATGAGGGCAGGGCGGGGTCTTTGGTGGTGAGGAGTCAAACATTTCAAATGACGGCCAAGAAGGCCCGAGTAAAATCTATATGACGACGAAATTCATTCCTACATTAAGTCTGTTAGTAAAATCTATACCCACGGTAATCATATTTATATGACCACGAAAGTCATTCCTACATTAAGTCTGAAATTTTTTTATAAGTTTAGTGGGTAAACATAATTTCCTATAGTGTTTTCTTACTTGATGGAAGAGGTTATATCTGTATTCATTTTTTGTTTGAGATATGTTTTGCTAGTTTAATGATGCATCTATGTAGCTTTGTTATGTTGGTGATATTCATTTTAAAGTAAATGTGTAGACTTGTAAAAGTATATGCCTTCAAATACAAATCCATATAAATGGGACTTAATCAAGTCACATTGTTTGGAACTCAAATCTTAAAGTGTGGCCTTGAGTACAAATTCACACACGTTCCAATGACTGTTTGTGCTCCATGGCGAGCACTATTTTGTCCTTTTCCATTGATAATTCATCATTGATTAGTGTATCTCTCTTGTTGGCCTCCTCTAGTGTCTACCCATGTTCTTTTTTCTACTTTAGATTTCCAATAACCTTGGTGTTAGCTTGTCTTACTTATATATTCACATTTATATATTGATTTTAACGTTGTTTGGTGATTACCATGAGATATCCGCATTAGTATCAAAACATTAATCGTTTTAATATGAACAATCGTTGTGATATTGGACCTTCAACCTTGTTTGACTTTGTTAAACATTGTATTTGGAATTGGAAGTATTTGGTCTTTCCTTGGTTTATTCACAGGTTTGAAGGTTTATTTGGTCAAACTATGATTCCTAACAAAATCTCAAGTCACAGAAAACGCCAAATGAAACCACACTAAATCGATTGTCTTAAAAAAAATGAAATTTCAACCTAATATGTATTACAAATAAACTAGGGAAAATAAAGAAACATCTTCCCAAAATGTTAATTACTTTCACAACTCAAACCCCTAATATGCATCTATACAAGTATCCAAAGTAAGGAAATATATAATGGATATATATATGTATAACTAATCATGCTAAGAATCATCTGATAATAGTAATCTCACAAACACTTATACATGTCTACAATACATCTATAGGAATCAACTAAGCTTAATGAATAGAAAAATACACAAGAAAGTTAAGAAATTGATGTTTTATTACATAAGAAATGGTACATTGATGTCACATCTATTTTGAACCAATATCAAATAAATTGACATCTTTAATTACTTACAGACTGATCTTTAAAAATTATTCTATAAATCTAAACAAAATACCAACTATATATGCTTTCATATTTACATCAAATCAAGATCAGTGTATGTGTGTTGTGTACACTTCTTTGCTTACACTAAAAAGTTTTATTATACCAAAAAATCAGATAACAATTGGGGTTCTTCACCAAACCTATATTGGTCTGACATATCTGTATGCCTATGTGTTGGAGACCTGTTGACTTCTATCTCACTGAAAAAGTCAGGATTTTGACTTAAATCTTGACCCAATTCCAATTCTTTCTCTTTATCATCTGAAGATGATGAGTTATTGTTTGCTCCTTTGAGTGCATGTTCTTGTGATGATGTGCAATTGCCGAATTCTTCTTTGTATATATCTTCAATCATGGGTTTCCAGAGGCGTACACGTGCATTGATGAACCAATTTGCAATCTAATAAAAAAAACAATTGGGAACTTGGTGTTAATTTGTACCCCAACAACATACCGAATTTGAATTTAAGAGTAACAAGTTAAGAATTAGGAAAGAATAAACTCTAGACATTTAAAATCTTTATTTACCTGGCTTCGAGTGAGTCCAGTTTGTTTTGCTAGCATGATTTTCTCCGAATCTTTTGGGTAACTGGAAAATATTAAATATGTGAAAAATTGTAGGATGCACTTAGAAAACGAGATAGAGAGAAGAGATCAAATATAAAGCCTAGTTTGTTGTAAATCGAACGACAATACATGACATAACAGTAGTTTGTACTGTGTTTGACATGTATTGGACTGTGGGACTGGAACTGATCTCAATGAGACAAAAATTGTAACTTTTGTCTCACTCGAAAAGGTGGGGCACTGACTCGCTCTCGATTTCTCGTTTGTATTAAAGATGTGAATGTCTGTCATCCTCATCAGTAAAAATAGCCCTAGAAAGCTTGTTCAGTCTCGTCCAGTCCTGTCCTATATAACTAACAGACACAGCCGTAGGCTGTGTCTGTTACATAGGACTGGACTAGACTGGACAAGCTTTCTAAGGCTATTTTTGATGATGTGGATGACAAGCATTCACATCTTTTGTACAGATGAGAGATCGAGAGCGAGTCTGCGCCCCACCTTTTTGAGCGAGACAAAAGTTACAAATTTTGTCTTATTGACATCAGTTCCAGTCTCACAGTCCAATGCATGCCAAACACAGTGCAACCAGTTCTGTCCTGCGTAACAAAAATGGTGGAACAAAAGCACATACGGGTTAAGAAAATGTTCAAACAGCCAAGCGCGAAGAATCGAGACAGATCCTTCCGGAAGCCCTCTTTGTGGCCTCCAAGAATGACGTGTCACACCAAGGTGATTAAGTGTTCTTTGTTGCCTGAGTTGCTTTTCCACGTTCCTTAAACGTGGCAACACTCTGTCCACCGAATCATCTTGTTCTCCTAACCGCTGACGTGTCACTTGAATCTGTCCATTAATGGCATCACGTAAGCACCGAAAATGGCAAGAAATTGTTCGATGTGCAAGTGTTGTGTATGTCCTTGCAGCCCCACACCCAGACACCACATCCAATGTTGCTTCAACAATTTGCAGTTGTTGGCAATACTCTCTGTATTTCCTATCCACCTATACTCAAAATCGAAATATTTTATTAAAAAAATATATCCAAGGGTAAAAAGGTAAAAAGGGTGTTCTTGAAAGATTAAAATAGTTACCTCGTCTAAGAAAGAAAACAATCTCGTGACCTTGTTTTGAAGATCTTGTTTCTCAGAAGCTGAAAGTTCACCGGAGGAAGTAGTAGTGGATTCATGAGGGGTAAATTTGGAATTTTTTTTATCGTCTACACGAAGGGTATGTAGATTGCTAAGTTTGTTAATCTTTAGCTGTCTTAAAGCTTCACGAAGATTTGCTACTTCTTCAAGCAATTCTTGTGATGGTTTTAGATATTTTGAATCCAAGATTCTACCACTTACAAGTCCATATGAAACATCATATGTATCAGAAACAGAGCATTGACTGTTTTTTCCAACCAAGTCAAAGGACAAATAGTCAACATTTTCTACTTTATGGGTTTGAGAACCATGAGAGCCATGATCATGAGGATCTTGAAGATGGGTGTTCAAGTAATTGTATTGAAATGAAGGTAAATCCATGGAGGAAGAAGGGATTTGCATTCCTAGGCTGAGTGATAATTCTTGATATTGTAAGTTTCTTTCATCATCTGAAGTGTTATGATCTTTGACTTGTGAAAGGATTTGAGGATTTGGTTGCATGTTTCCAGATAAAAGTTGTAAGAAAGAGTTGTCAGTGGATGTTTGATTTTGATACATCATATCAACAGGTGGACATGGTGATTCTTGATATGAATCGTATGAACTTTGAAACACATCTCTTTGATGATTGTTTGAAGGAGGATAATAAGTAGCCATCTTGATTGCTTTAAAACCCAATCACTATCAAAAAGATCTTCAAAAATGATTGCTTTAGAAGGTGATATGATACCTAAAAAAAGAAAAGAAAAGAGCAAGTATTGGTTAATTTGTTTCTTGAGATTCTATGGTGAGAATTGAGAAACATAAGTAAACAAACTATAATAAAACCTAATTAATAGCATAACCGAAAGCACATGGTGTGATTTGTTATGCAGATTCCATCAGTAAAAGGAAATCCCAAAAAGGGGATTACAGATTACTTTCCAATTTTCCATACATATAAAGAGTTTTTGTTTTCTTCTCAGAATTTCATAGAGACATAACATCAAACACTTACTGTGCATCAAAAAAGTACATGAGCAGTGAGAGGGAGAAAGGGGAGATGTATGAAGGAGTGATCTAGAGAAAAGATGAAGACAGAACCAAAGCGAGTGAAGGAAAATCTTCCTAAAAGGGAGACAAAACTTGGATATGAACAAGGAGAAGATATGATAATTGATAATTCCCCCACAATATAGTATTCGATTAAAGTAATTAAAGAAAACAAACACACACAACTAACCCTCCTTATCATTGAACAATGACCTCCTCTCGAGATTAAACAAAGCAATAATTGGAGGACAAGCAAACAAAAACAAGATTATACATAATACATTTATACATATATAAATATAATTAATCAAAATCAAAAGCTCCGTAGTTGCGCAAACACCCAATTCATTAAACTAATCAAAAGAAACACCAGCAAAAGAAACAAACTAACCCGTGGTTAGCACGTGCAGACAAAGCTCAAGATTTCAATGATTCGGATGAGATTAGGGTGAAGAATAAGAAGAAGGTCCAAATTGAAATGGGGTTTGCTTGAATTGAGGTGTTTGTTTAGTAGCTAAAGACAATTGCTTGAAAAATGGATATTGTGAAGCTAACAACCAGTTGGTGGACCTAAACTGCATATACTTTCGTCTTCTCCGTTTTCCTGTTGTTGGGATATTGAATTAAAAATGGTTGATTTTTGAAGTCAATGCTACACACACGTCTCCAACGTGTATTACGTTTCTTTTTCATTATTATACCGCGAATCTTATATTCATCTTGGCGGCAACCAACGCCACTTATTCTTCGGAACGATTTTCAGCCGTTCGATTTACTTTTATGATTTATATTACCATGTTAAAATAAACATGACAATTTTTTTTATACTATTTTGAAATAGAGTTTAATAGTATTTTGTTTCAAATTTAGGTGGAGTATGTTTTATTTTATTTTTTTCGATTTCATTCTTTTTTTTTCAACTTTTTCGGCTGCAATTTTTCTTCTAAAGATGTTAAAATGTGAAATGTATTGTTATTTTATATAAAAAGGCCATAATTTCAAATTTGAAAAATAATAATAAACATGTTATCTTATACTAAATCGGATTTTTTAATATGTGACTAAATAACATATATAAGAAACATTAACTAAAATATTAATTATAAAAATATTATTATAGTTAAATATTATAAATAGTATTTATAAATAATATTCCTTATAATTAATCATTTCTAATAAATAAAAATAATATTCTATTTTTCATTTTCTCATTTTTTTTATTTTTTCTTAATTAACACATCATATTTACACTTCAATACTTAATTGCCTTAATTGAAAATAACCAATAAGTTACACTATTACTATTCATATAGTATTTAATATGTTTACTTTTAAATTTAAATTTTTATTTTTATTTTTCAAATTTAAATAACTTTTTGTTTAAATATTTATAGTTATTTTTTGTTTTATTCGACCTGTATAACATACAGGTCTCACAGTTAGTATATTTATATTTAACTATGATAATATTACACATAATTAATATTTATTATATTTAATTATTTATAATTACTATACTAATAATTTTTATATTTGTCTTAGAATATATATTAAAAAATCCATATAAAATTAACTGGCTGTCTGATTGCTTATCAAGTAAAACATTGACTTATTCCAAGCCTTGATTTCCATTTTTTTTTTGTTTGTTTTACATAACTCCTTCATTATGCTGTTTAAGATTTGTCTTTTTTAATGTGAATATGAATAATATAAGGTTCATCAATTCAACTTTTATAAGAAAGAAATCAATAATTAATTTCTTGAATTTGCTCAAGATGAAACATATTTAAAAGAAACAAGGTCCGCGTCATGGTTTTTATTTACTGTTCGAATTCCTTTGATTGCCTTTGAATCTCCCCTGTTTTTTGTTTTTCATCCTACTTCATGTTTCATGCCAAACCAACAACAATACCCTCTTTTTTTTTCTTTTTTTTTTTCTTTTTTTCCATATAGTTGGCGTTTTCCAATGCTTCCAAAATGTGTTCGTTGCTTCTTTCAGTACCAACTGTATTTGATTATTTATATATGTGCATGGAAAATATCAAGACCCAAAGATTTGTTGATGTGTTGAACGTACTTGTATTGAGAAGTACATAATCATAAGAGGATATCTTTTGAGTACGCTTCTTTTCTTTTGCGTGTTTCTTAGGATCGATCATTGTTGTAAAAGGAGAAAATATTTAAGAGAAGTGGGGCGTTCTAAACATTATTGATGTACTTCTCAACTCTCTCTCTCTCTCTCTCTCTCTCTCTCTCTCTCTCTCTCTCTCTCTCTATATATATATATATATATATATATATATATATATATATATATATATATATATATATATAGACACACACACACACAAACAGACACACACGGAAAAGTGAATATCCCGTTAAGGATATATAAGCTTAGATCAAGATCGGCCCTAGCGGGACAGTAAGTTGGGCGACCGCCCCTGAGCCCCTACGAGTCACGGTTAATATTTGTACATATAGTTTTAGCATATATGAAATTTCTATAAGCAAAAATACCTAAGACATATTTAGTTGAGATGGTTGAGGCATGCAGAACTTTGGAGTAGGAGACCTTAGTTCGAACCTTGTTTTAATTGTTTTTACATAATTTCTTAAGGTTTTAGTGACTTCTCAATTTTCAATAACATATTCATGTTCTCTCGATTCCCAAACCAACTTCTCGATTTTCAATAACCACAAGTTATGCTTTTACATATTCATGAGTTATTTCTTTTTTAATTGTTTTTACATAATTTCTTAAGGTTTTAATGACTTCTCAGTTTTCAATAACATATTCATGTTCTCTTGATTCCCAAACCAACTTCTCGGTTTTCAATAACCACAAGTTATGCTTTTACATATTCATGAGTTATTTCTTTTTCACTACATTGTCCATTCTTCGTTCATACGTCATCCTTTATGAATCAAACTTCAACGAGTTTAATCAAAGTCCTCAAATAATCCTTCCTTCAGGGATGATATTAATGGTATGTTTGTTAGTTTTTTATTATGTAAACCTAGCTTGATTTTTGTTTGCTTAAGCTGGATTTGTTTACAAAGAGTTGTAGTCTGTAGGTTCTATTGGGTTTAACTATTGAAGCTCGCTTTTGTTTGTGTGCTTTTCTTTGTTCGTCTGGTTGTATAGAAATTGAATATCAATGCATAATATGAAGTTAATTTTCAGGTATTGAAAATTGTACAAAGGCAGAGGCAAAGGCAGAGGCAAAGGCAGAGGTGTAGCATCCCGACTCCTAGGTATAATCAAGGTTGTAAAAATCGTTCGGCGATCGACTGCGATAAGCGATTAATCATACTTGGCGGGGATTAATCGACGATTAATCAGTGACCCTAATTTATTAATAAAATTATTTTAAAAATTAATATTTCCTAAAGAATTAAGTATTTGGAAGTTTTAAATTTTAAAATTTTGAAATTTTAAAAATTTTAGTATAATGCTTTAAAATTTGAAAGCTTAAAAATTTTAAATTTTAAAATTTTGGTGCAATATTTGAAAATTATTTTTCTTGAATTTTTTAAATATTTCCCGCCTATGACCGTCGAGGACCACCAAGCCCGAGTTTGACTGATTTTGACCAATTTCCGCCATACAGCCTTATCGTAATCGGTTCGAGGCTGCCAAGCGATTAATCGACCGTCAAGGCCGATTTCTGCAACACTAGGTATAATATTTAATTAATCTATATTCATGTTGTCAGATCAACTCGGCGAGTTGGAGGCCCCAACTCACCGAGTAGAGAGTTAAATGGCCACGTGATTTTTAGAGTCTAATCGACGAGTTGGAGGACCCCAACTCGACGAGTAGGAGCTGAGTGTATTTAAAGGACCTTAAGTATTCATGTCTGTCTCCCTTATCATCTTGACACACGAGAGAAACCCTAAGCGAGTTGTATTCATTTGTGAGAAAGAGAAAGGTTAAGATTGTGTGTTCTAGTGCATTTTTTAAAGGGGATTGAAGAGCAAAAAGGCTTGGAACGAGAAGAAGCCTTTGGATCCGGTGTTCTTTCAGTGCTAGTTGCTATTTGGATGCGGAGTCTAGACCGTTCAAAGAGTACGAGACCTACTTGCTTACTTACGAGGTGAGTCTTCTCACTATACTTAATTGAGTTGTAATACTGGTGACCGTAAGGTCTTATTTTCGTTATCAATCGGAGGGTCTTATGTGTTTATACTGAGTTATGTGATATTATGCATCTTGTCTTTGTGATTATGCTACATATTATTCTATGTCTTACCAAGTTAGGACCGGAGGGTCCAAACTGAGTTGTGAGGCCAGAGGGTCTTCACTGAGATACATGACTAGAGGGTCCAACCCGAGTTGTGAGACCGAAGGGTCCTCACTGAGACATGTGATCAGAGGGTCCATACCGAGCTGTGAGACCGGAGGGTCCTTACCGAGACCCATGACCGGAGGGTCCATGCCGAGCTATAGCCATGAGAGGCATATTATTTGTGTATGTTGTATTTTGGGGAACTCACTAAGCTTTTTGCTTACAGTCTTGTGTGAAATGTGTTTCAAGTACCTCTCAAGATCGTGGGAGGCGTCGGCTTGATTATACACACCAGTTATAGATTATGTTTTCGAGGATTATGGGATATTATCAAACATTTGTTGCTTTGTGTCTTGACAACTTATGCATTTTGTGGTTTTTGAGAAATGTGATATTGGGTTTTATATGACTTTTGAAAATGAAATTTTTATTTGAAAATTTAGAGTGTTACAAGAGGTACTCGAATATGCTAAATGAGAGATAAATAACCGCCCTGGAGGAAAGATAGAATGACATCTTGAAGCTTGTTATGTGAATTAGTGTACATGTTATCCCTTTAATGGGTTTGGACACCACATGTTTGATAAAATGCCTAGGAGACTTATACAATTTAGAGTTAAGCTTTTGGTTGTTTGTTTGATTCATGATGCCTTAGCCTAGGGGATGTTATTGATTGATATTATATGTTATATGCTCTATGTATGTGCTGAGTAGGAGTACCTAGCAGAAATCTTTTAGAGAGAGTCTTGAGACAAGGGGTAATCTAGAAAAGATACCTAGATGAGTATTTGAGGAGTCTACTAAGAGAGTATTTTGATACCTGTGAGGGATAGAGTACTTGTGAATTAGGATCTTAGGAAGAGGACTTAGGGCAACTACAGGTTGGTGTGGAATATAGTATTGGGCTAGTACTACTGAAAGCACAGGATTTGTATGCAACCCAAGTAAGAACCTTAGGATGATAAGGAGCATGTAAGGGTGGGTAATCGTGTGTGTATGTGTGTTTGAGCTAGTCTCTGATGATTTTGTGTTTGCATTTCAGAGACACTATGGTGATTACCTACAACAACCCCTGGGGAAGTGGTACCAGTGACGAGGAGATCTGCAGGATCATTGTGGAGGAGGTGGTTGCGGCTATCAGAGAGATCATACCAGA